TTTTTTCTTTAGTTTCCCTAGTCTGGGTAGGCATGTCATCTGAAAAGATTCCTTTAAAACTAATGTCAAATAGTGTGTTGCCTATATTTTCTTCTATGAGTTTTATAGTTTCAGGTCTCACCTTCAGGTCTCTGATCCATTTTTGAGTTAATTTTTGTGAATGGCGATAGCACATGGGACACTGGACCATTTTGAAGCAGATCTCAGACATAATTTTGTAATTCCTTAAGTATCATTCTCTTTAAAACCAAAACAAGGGGCCGGCCCTGTCGCTTAGTGGTTAAGTGCGTGCGCTCCGCTGCTGGCGGCCCGGGTTCAGATCCTGGGTGCACACTGACACACTGCTTCTCTGGCCATGCTGAGGCCGCGTCCCACATACAGCAACTAGAAGGATGTGCAGCTACGACATACAACTATCTACTGAGGCTTTGGGGGGGAAAAAAAGTAAATAAATAAAATTTAAAAATAAATAAATAAATAAAACCAAAACAAAATATAACAACAATAAATTAATACATCCCCAAGTACCCGTAACCCAGCCTCAAGTCATCAACTCCATTGCGGTCTTGCTTCATCTCTGCCCTTTCCCACTCAATAGATTACCTTGAAGCAAATCCAAGACATTGACTGGAATGCTTTTACAAAGGTTTGTTCACTTCAGTCTTTTTAAAACTTTTTTCACATTGTTAAAATCATAGTGTGCCTACATTTGTAAACTTCTGCTTGAAATCATTTTAGAAGTATAGCAATATATGAGTCTTTTTAAATCTTGGTTTTTTTTATTTTAATAAACTGAAATTTCATCAAATTGGCAGATAATATTTTTCTGGAGATTTTGTACTCTACTGATCCCAAATTGGATGCAGCACGAAAGATTTTAAAAAAAATTGAATACCGTAATCTATACAAGTATGTGGGTGAGACTCAGCCAGTGGGACAAACAAAGATTAAAAGGGTAAGTTGAATTGTCAAGCACCTTGCCATTAGTGAAAGGCCCCTGTCCTTCAAGAGGAAGCCATTAGCCCATCACGGTACCCCGACTCTGTTCTAAGCCCTTTACATTCATTCTCATTTAATCTTCACATTAATACAGTGTCCTTAGGCCTGTCCTTTAGATGAAGAAACTGAGGCTTGGGAGAGATTAAATAACTTTTGTATGGAAGCACAGAGAGCCGAGACTCAAAGCCAAGTCTAACTTACTCCGAACCTTTACTTATCATGGAAGTGAGAGAGGCCTCAAATTTTGGGTAAATCTGAAGGCAAGAAAATGAATGTAAGGGAAAGGGGCCTCAAAATGAGATATCTGCATGAGCTTCCTTGAGACCCTGAGGACCTGCTCTTAACTACCACTTCTTTCGCAGTTTATCAGGTTCTCCCAGATGGCGCATGCCTGTCTTTAGTTCAAATATCTGTTTTCCTCTCCTGCTTGTTGAAGGCTTTTCTTTTTGCCAGAAAGCCAGTTAACACAAGCCATACTGATAACCATGCTCTGCATCATAATACTTCCTTGGGTTACCCTTTACTTCCTCTTGTTTTACTAATAGATTAATGCCACATTTTTTTAAATGTGAAAATTCTGTTATGAAAATTGCTCTAGGGCCGGCCCCGTGGCTTAGCTGTTAAGCACGCGCGCTCCGCTGCTGGTGGCCCGGGTTCAGATCCCGGGCGCGCACCGACGCACCGCTTCTCCGGCCATGCTGGGGCCACATCCCACATACAGCAACTAGAAGGATGTGCAGCTATGACAGACAACTATCTACTGGGGCTTTGGGGGAAAATAAATAAATAATTTAAAAAAAAAAAGAAAATCGCTCTATTGTGATTTGATAAAAGATGGCACAGGCAGAAGCTGTGTATTTGTTAGGGATCGCTCTACCCACTTTTCTTAGTAAAGTGCCATTTTCAGAGAGGGAATCTCTTTGTGGCACAAACACTTACTGATGAAGAACTGAGATTCTAACATGAGAAATTTTATCTTTTCTAGGAAAGCTATGAACGCCTTCCAAAAGAGGTTGCCAACGCTAAACCTAAGGACGTGTTGCTAGAAGCTGAACTGAAGGCTGAAGATTTCGTAGTGGATGTTATCAACATGGATTATGGAATGGAAGACAAGAATCCTATTGATCATGTTCGCTTCTATTGTAAGAGTGACCTCAGGAAAGCAATCATGATTAC